AGTTGTCTACCTACTCAAAATATTTTTGTTCTTTTCCTCCCTTCCATTAGATAGTGTTATCCTACCATTTGTCGGTAGGTAGCCCTATCATTGGATGTTTGAGGGACAAACGCGGGTCATTGTACAGTCATAGAGGCAACTCGTATGGCACTTTAGCAATTTTATCGTAAGGGACTAGATCGTTTACCGAAGGCAACATCGAAAAGTCATTGAGGGACTACGATCTTTTTATATTGGAGGGTCATCGAAGGACTACGGTCTTTTTGTATTGGAGGGACTTTGCTAAAGCGTCCCCACGTTCGAGGGACATGACTGTTTTTCCAAAGGCAACAAGTGGAGGTACCTTAGAGGTGCGCGTGTGCAAAGTGTGTTGTGTTTCAGTTACGTTTATCTTGGATATTAGGTGTTCTAGCGTTTGCTTTTAGGTATTATCATGCAATCCTATTAAGCATACATCTAGCAGTTAAATATATACAAGTGCAGAAAAATAAGAATGCGGAAAGTGAAGTCTAAGTTATTACATCGCTTTGGGGTGGGGGGAATACAAACCAAAATGGGGAAAGAAAAATGTAAAGAGTTTTAATTTTAACTATTACATTCCTTTAACAGTTACATAATTGTTCATGAAAATAAAAATGCGAAAGAAATAAATAACGCACGGAGATGAAACGGGAAAGGATGAAAAACCCTAAAAGATTCTAAGATTAGAAAAATGTTTTTCTTTAAAAATTAATAATTAAATTAATGGAAACCTAATCCTAATCAGTTAATTAATTAAAAAAAAGATGATTAAATGATTGATCAATTTAATTAATAAAAACTTAAATCTACTATTTTTTGTGATTTTCTGATTTTGTAATTTTTTTATGTTCATAAAAAGAAAAAAAGATTTAAAGAAAAACAAATAAATAAAACAACAAAAAAAATAGCCAGGCACTGCAAAAAGTAGTTAGAGGGTGTGAAATAGAAAAACATTCTCAGGTCCATTAGCAATAGGGCCCAGGCGCCTGGAGATCCAGTGAGGGACGCTTCTTGGGGTTCATCATGAGGGCGCGCCTTTGAGGCTTTGGATCTAGCCTGATAAAATCTGGTGGTCAGGAACTGGAGGTGCATGATGCGCATATTTGGTCTCACTCATACCTAATCTATAGATTCATATAAACTCAAACAAATGTTAGCATGCCATGAAATGTGATTAAAATCAGATATTAGAAATTTTAAACTTTATCAAACCGGTGTTATCAAATGGGGGCGTTCTAGGCTTGTGATGGACTGATCTCAGGCCTTGTAAAAATTCTTGGGGACTTCAAGAGGATGGCTTGAGGCTTCGTTTCAATCGAGAGAGGCTGGAACTTTGAGACATGACTTGCACCAATTCTTTGATTTTTTGGAGAGTTTTTAGAGAGCTTTTGGAGAGCTTTTGCTGTAGAAATTTTGTGGTCCCTTGATCTACTTTGGCTTGCCTTTATATAGAGAGAGTGATTGGCTTACTAACATGGCAAGGAATCAAGCTTTGATGGTCTTAACAAAACAAGATAAAACACATTCAAAACTTGCCAAAAATGATATATCTTTTGACATTTTCGAATTTGCATGAACCTAGACAGCTTGTGTGCATCTTTCACTAAATAATGGGCTCCAAAGTGGATCAAATCCATCCCATGTGCACAACCCATGATTTTTGTGATTTTATTTAATTTATTTTGTATTTATTTGAATAAAACAAAATAAATATAAATAAAATAATAAGAAAATACAAGACAAGGTAAGAGTGAGTTTAGGAGTCTTTTGCAAGGTCATGGACATGTTTGAAGTCCAAAGAGTTAGGTCACAAGTCCAAAATTTCAAGTTTGCACATTTAGCATTTCATGCATTTCTTAAAAATTGTCCAATTTGTGCAACTCACAACTTGGTCAATTTTCATATTTTGAAGGTGATCCATGACTTTTTAAAAATCTCAAAATGTCCTCTACACCTACTATTTTTATCATATTTGCATTTGGAGACATTATCTTGATGTAAGTTTCCTTGACAAAAAGTGTCTTTTGCTGACTTTTGAAAATGACATATAATATATTAGCTCATATCTTTCAAATGAAGCACTTTTTGGACTTGAGCATAAAAGAAAAGTTGTAGATAATTGAGTTTTATTCAAAATGGTCTTTGGTTGGACAAAAGTTTATGAAGCACGTGAAAGTTATGCTTGGTCAAAGTTCAGTTGACTTCTCATAAGGAAACTCTAATTTGGCAATTATTGACTTTTTATGATCTGAGGGCTTTTCTTGAGGAATCATGATCAACCCTTGATCACATGATTAATATCACTTTAAAATGTTGATTTGACCAAAAATCTTGAAGTTTGACTATATGTTGACTATAGTTGACTTTTTGACCAATACAGTTGACTTTCACTCATCTGAGTCATTGACTCAGCAAACTTGTGATGTAAGGCTTGAAACTTGACATAGACCTTGTTGAGGACCTATTAAGAACCATATAAGCCACTTGGTACCTTTTCAAATCAAATTTCCTTGAGAAACTCCCAACCCTAGTTGTAGGCCTTTGGTTTAGGAGGTGCATCTTGACTAGGCATCCCTTGAGATTCTTGAATATTTGAAGAGCCTTGAAAGAATGTATCGAAGAAAAATGGGGGAAAATTTTAGGGTACAACACCACCTTTAGTTGTGAAGAGCTTATCTATGTAAATTTAAAATTGTCCTTCATGAATTCGGGAATATATTTCTGAGCACACTCTATATTAATCAAATCCATGCGCAAGCGAGTCGTGCTTTCTTTTTGGAAATTTCTCATCTCACCCTTATGATATAGGGTGCACCCTTGAAAATCCAAAAATTTCTCATCTCACCCTTATTATATAGGGCGCACCTCTATTGTGACTCCACACACAAGAGAGATGGTGAATTGTGAGTTTAAGAAAAACTCTGGTTTGAAAAAAAATTTGTGATTATTTTCAGAGTTTAAAAATATTTTAAAACATTTCAGAAATTAGCAACGGAAAGTAAATGTGTGAAAATTAAAAAATTAAGGGAATGAGAAAATACATAGGGTATTTATACAGGTTCAGCCAAGAAGACTTAGCCATGTCCCAAGGTTTGATCTTGAGAGTATCTAGTAATGGTTAAGAGTTTTAGTGGGTTAAACTCTCGAATCCTCTTATACAAGAAAAAATGAAGTTTCAGGCTAACTTCCAACCAAACAACAAACAACGAAAAGAAGCGATTAATCTTACTTTCAAACACGAACTTGTAGAGAGTAGCGATTAGTCTTCCTTTCAAACACGAACTTGCAGAGAGAAGCGACTAGTCTTTCTTCCGAACATCGAATTGAAGCGGTTAGTCTTCTTTCCAAACATCAGATTGAAGTGGCTAGTCTTCTTTCTAAATAGTTGAGTGAAACAATTAGTCTTCTTTTCAAACAACTTGAAGCGGCGAGTCTTTAAGCTAAACCAAGATTTTCTATGGACTTATCTCGAACCAAGATGAGCTTTTGAACCAGGCTGGATTCACGAACCGAACCGAGGTTTTGACTAGGATGACCATGGACCAAGATGAGATTTTGAACCAGACTTATCTCGATCCACAATGAGCTTTTAAGCTGGTCTGAACTCATAAACCGTGTTGAGATTTTAAACTGAATTGATCTCGAATTGAAGTCAGCTTTTAAACTGGATTGAGCTTACGAACCGAACCGATGACTTAGAACCTAAATCCACAAACAAAAGCTTTTAAAGGGTTTAGCTTTGAACTCAAACAAACACCCCTTGAGGGATAAATTATCCAACCAAAAAGAAAACACTTTTTGGTGAGTTTATAACATTGCCCTTTCCAGAATACAAATTTTTTTCACTAAACAAATTAACTTTCTCAACGTGTTATTACTAAAGATATAAGTTGAAAATATTTTTAGAGAGAGCGGGGAGTGAGATAGAATGTTCACGTTTATGGATTTAAAATATTGAAGGAAAGAACCTCTATTGATTGACTAGAGGTTGTAAAAAAAATCCACAAACCTCCGCGAGTGAGTTAAGTCTCATCTAACCTCTACTTCTTTATGGACCATGATTCTATGTTGTAGGAAATTCACCAAGTTTTACATTGTAGTGAATCTCAACCGTTGATTTAAAATCAAACAATTTAAATATTAACTTTAATTTCATGCAATAAAATAATATCAATCCTCGATTTGATAGAGTGTTAATTCACTCCTTTGTAAGTTGTAAATAGGAATGTCAAACGGGCATGTCCGTCCCGTTTTGGTCCGTCCAACAAAAACCCGCAAAAAATAGAGTGGTGTGGACTTTGTTGGGGGTGCGGGCCTAAAACTCAGCTCTGCCCCGCAAAAAGATTAGTGTGGGACGAACTTTGTTGAGAGTGCGGGCCTAAAACCTTGTCCACCCTGCAAAAAAAATAAAAGTAGAGCGAGGCGGACCCGCGGATATTATGCCTTTTTAAGCTTAAAAATTACAAATTTTCATGTTAATACTTGCGCCCGCAAAAAATAAAGTGGGGCAAAACAAACATATTAGATGGTGTTAATCTAAAACCTTATCCATCCCATAAAAATGCGGACAAAACGGATATGCCCATCAGATCAGATCTATTTTGTCACATCTAAATGTAAGTAAGAAATCGGTGCAATGAAAGGATGGTTCATAGTAATAAATGATTGGATGTTGAATTGATGAGAACCAAAAAAAGGCCAAACAAGTTACACAGCCTATTAAACCAGCAAGGCAGGGCCAGCAAATTGCAAATATTACACTTAAAACAAAATTGCTTTTATAGTAACTTATTAGTAATTAAGTAGTCACACTTGAGTTGCTCATTCCCTTTATTGTGCCCATTCTCAAAAGATGAGATAGTGAGAGAGGATAGAAAGATAGCCTAAGAAACACAAACAGAAATTGAAAACTCAGAAGAGAGAATACCCAAACCACACATTCATTCTCACACTATCATCATCAATGCAATTGTAAAACTATGTCAACTACCTTCTCCATGGCTTCTTTCTCTCCTCTAACTCCAATCTCAACCACTCATTCTTCTTCACACTGCAAACCCCATCACCACAACACTCTCTCCACTCTCACTCTCAGACCAAAAAACCATCCTTTCTTTACCCTCTCTCCCTTGAGAGTTTCTGCTGGAACTTCTGATTCACCTGAAACTGCTGTCAAACAACCTCCAGAAAACATCTCTGTCGGTACAAATGGCTCTGCTTCTGCTGTTACTGTGCCAGAAGAAATTAAGGTTTCCAATGGTTTTGTTGACCCTAGATGGGTTGCTGGGACTTGGGACTTGATGCAGTTTAGGAAAAACGGTACCACCGATTGGGATGCTGTTATTGATGCTGGTAACTTTTCTGTCTTTTACTTTATGCTTCTTTGTGTTGTACGCTAAAATTTCGTTCTTTTGTTGATTTTATGATTTTATCCGCAAATGTTTAGCATGTCTCTGGTTCTGCTGAGAAAAATTTGATTTTGTAATATATTCAATTAAACTCAGATCCATTTTCTGCTTGATTGATGATTATGCTAGCTGAATTACAATTGTTGGTAGGCTTTCACATATGGAAGTAAACAAATTTCATTAACTATGAGTTTTGTAGATACTAGATAGTAGGATTTATAGTGTTTTTTTGTGTGTTCAGAAGCATTATAAACTTATTTTAATTGAGAATTTTCCGTTCTGTCATCGAGACTGTGTTACAGATGCATAGTTGACATAAGGATTAGACTCATGGTGTCATCTCCTCGTATCTTATTCTTTATTTCTAAATTGTTTGAGCTTTAATTCATCCATGAATCAACTGGTTTTCTGATTTGGTTGTTTCTGTATTCAGAGGCGAGGAGGAGAAAATGGCTCGAGACTAACCCAGAATCATCCAGCAATGACAGTCCTGTCGTGTTTGACACCTCCATCGTCCCTTGGTGGGCATGGATAAAAAGGTTTCATCTCCCTGAAGCTGAACTACTTAATGGTCAGTTTCGTTTTGTATTCTATAATCACATATTACAGAAAATCGTGGTTTATTCAAATTCTGCTACACTGAATCGCTGCTATTTGACAGCATTTTGTTAAATTGTGGTTTATTCAAATTATGCTACCCTGAATCGCTGCTATTTGACAACATTTTGTTAAATCCTGGTTTATTCAAATTCTGCTACACTGAATTGCTGCTATTTGACAGCATTTTGTTTTAAATTGTGTATCGCTAAACAGTACTGTTTTTTCTAACGATATAGCCTCTATTTGACGACACTGGAAAAAATAATCATCTCTTTTTACCTTTTCTTCTTGGGTGTCATGCAGGTCGCGCAGCAATGATAGGATTCTTTATGACATATCTGGTCGATAGCTTGACAGGAGTAGGTCTAGTTGATCAAATGAACAACTTCTTTTGCAAAACTCTTCTGTTTGTAGCAGTGGGAGGAGTACTTCTCATCCGAAAGAATGAGGATGTTGATACTTTCAAGAAGCTATTGGAGGAGACTACATTTTATGACAAGCAATGGCAAGCAACTTGGCAGGATGAGAACTCAAGCAATTCCAACAAATGATTAGTGGGATTGTTGTTATGTAGTCTCTTAATATAGTGTGCTCTATTATTAATCTTGCTAGTAAAGAAAAAATACATGAATTAAACATTGTATTTCAATTCCTTTTATGATCCTAATGCAGAATGATAGAGTTTTTTGCGTTTGCAATGCAGGATTTTTCTTAAGTTGATGTGAAATTGGGTTGTTAGTTTGAGTAACTCTTAATTGAGTTAGATACACCTAATTTGACAAAAATAACAAATGGTTTGAAGTTGAACTTGTCAAATGAATCAATCCTAAAAAAAAGCATACAATCAGTTGTACTTGTTTGAATTATCATCAATAGTTTTCCATTTGTTGAAGATAATGGCATCTAATACAAAATGAGTATTTTCCAGTTTTCATCTAATCAAAAGTCTGATACCAATAGGTCATTATCCTTTAACCGACTACAATATTTATTAGAAAGTTTCACATAACTATCTCAATTAGCCGACTAACACTAAGATACCAAAGGCCTTGTTGAAAGGTAAAAAACTAAGACAAAAATTCTACTTCTGCAGTAGTAAGCAATGGTGTTTCTGATATAACTAAACAATAGCAAAAATGGTTGAATCACTTCTTAAGCTTCCCATCCCCTTAAGCTTCCCATCCCCTCAAAAGTGTTGCACGGGCGACGCGGTTCACTGCCAAAGTAAAGGCTCCCATTCTTAGATCACATTCATGAATCTTGCACATTGCCTTGATGTCCAAGAAAGCTCTGCTCATGTACCTCTTCAGCTCACGGTTCACTTTTTCTTCATCCCACATAAAACCTTGAATGTTCTGCAAACAACATATAGCCAGTTAAACTCAACATTATACTATACAAGTATGTAGAAATAAGGGAGAGAGACTTCAGTGTTATTTTGTATTTCCTATTTACCTGAACCCATTCAAAGTAGCTCACGGTCACTCCACCGGCATTAGCATAAATATCAGGTATGATAGTGACTCCTCTCTTAGACAAGATCTGGAAAAACGAATTCCATTATATAATGTAAGTTCTGAACATATATGTAATAAGAAACAACAGTGTTGCAAAAGTAACATTACCTCATGAGCTTCAGGGTCAGTGGGGTGATTTGCAGCTTCTACAACAAGTTTAGCTCTAATATCAGCAGCATTTTCCCTACAACAAGACATACCAATATTAAGTTTTAATTCTTGAAAACCAAAATGTTGGTACAAATATAAGATAAAACTAAGATTAATTGTATGTTTTTGATTTGAGTTTGGGTGACATAGATAAACATACTTGCTTATGACTCCACCCAAAGCGCATGGGATAAGAATATCACATTCATGGGTGAGCACTTCATCTGCATCCATGACATCTGCTCCTTGAAACTCAGTCAAGTTTCCATTGGTTTCCTTGTGTTTCAGAAGAGCAGCGATATCAATTCCATTGGGATTTTTTATGGCACCGGTGATGTCACTAACAGCAACCACCTTACCACCTCTATCAAAGATAGACTTAGCAGCCCAAGTTCCCACATTTCCAAAGCCCTGAATAAATCGTTGTAAAAATCGTCATAAAAATGAAATTAATGTTTATTACATACTATCATTTCGACATGGTGGTGAGTAAATACCTGGATGACAAATGTGTGATCAGAAATTGACTTCCCATTATCGGCTAACCAAGCCTCAGTAGCAAAAATCACTCCAAGACCCGTGGCTGCCTCTCTTCCCAAAGAACCCCCAAGATCCTACACACAAAATTCACAATTACTTATAACACAGAACAAAAGGTTTTGATGTCGCCGATGAAACATTTGTCTATGATACTTACAATAGGCTTCCCGGTCACAACAGCAGGTGAGTGTCCGTGAAACTTTGAATACTCATCCAGAATCCATGCCATGGTCTGCGAAAAAACAGATCAATGAAAAGGAAATACAAAAGCGTAAAATTGTTGGATGCTAGTATCATAGGGAGGGACATAAAAAAAGTATCACATTGTAAAAAACAGTACCTGAGCATTGGTTCCCATATCAGGAGCAGGAACATCTCGTTGAACACCAATTAGATCGTGAATCTTTTGGGTGAAAACTCGAGTTAGACGTTCTAACTCACTGATGCTTAGATCCCTCGGGTTGCAACCAATACCACCCTTAGCACCTCCATAGGGAATGTCAGTTACAGCAGTCTTCCATGTCATGAGCTGAGCTAGAGCATTCACTTCATCAGGTTCAACCTGGCACAGAGAATTTGACGATTTAATATTCAAAAGTATTATAAAGTATTAAATCGTTAACATTCATAACCGTAACTAAAGCATCAACATGCAACCATTAAGGCGGACATATATGTAAGCTTGCATTCTCAAATGGGCTTATGCTAATACATAGTGACACAGAACATTTACATAAGAGAAAACCAGTGCACACAAAAAAGAATCAAATATCACCTAATATCAAAAAACCAGTGAACAAAAACAAAATCGCAATCCTTTTGTTACTTCCAGAACCAGAAAGTTCACAATTTTGCATGATTACAAGACAAGCATAAGCATCATAACAAAAGTAACCACATTTTTAAAAAATAAGAACTTCAAGAATTAACCAGAAAACACATGCATGACACAGAAAATACAATTTTTGAATAAAAAAACTCCAAAAAAACAAATTTTCCACCACTGATCTTTGAACTGTATAATATCTAATAAATCAGGGTTCTATCAGCATCAAATCAATCAGAAAATAAATTTAAAAAAAAAAGTATTAGAAGAAGAAATGAAAACCTCGGGATGATAACGAATCCCTCCCTTCATAGGACCTCGAGCATTGTCGTGTTGGATCCTAAAACCCACGTAAGAGGCCAAAGTTCCATCATCTTTTGGGATCGTGCATTCAACCTGCAAATCACACGCAACCCAAATTAAAATAAAAAATAATAATTTTTGACGATGCAGAAAGAGAAAAAAGCATGCAAATTAAAATTGAAACACAAAGACTAAATAAACAGAGGATTGAATTGAAACCCAAAAAAAAAAGAAGGTAGATTGAAGAGAAAATAAAAACCTTGATCTCTCTGAAGGGAATGAGAAGACTCTTCTCAAGTTTGGAATCCAAACCGAGAATCCTAGCGGCACGTTGGAAATTGCGGTTTGTTGCTGCTAAAGCATTCATAGTGATGAATTACAAGAGAACAGTGATGAAGAGTGAAGTGTTGTTGATAGAGAAAAACAACAAGATTGAGAATGAATGAATACAAGAAACACAATAACTCGGAGTTTTATAGGTTAAACGTGTCGAACAAAAACATTGAACGATAAGTGGAAGGAACTCAAATTTTGCTATGTTTATAAATATTTTTTTATTTTATTTTTCATCTTTTTCTCCAATACAAGTAATTACTCTTATTTCTTTATTTTATTTTTTTAATAAAATCCATCTGTATCCACGTGTGTATTCTTAGCATTATGATTATTATTTTAGTTATACTTTTAATATTTTGTGCAGTAATAATAGTAATATTTGACATATATATTTATACCTTTTTCAAGAATAACAAACGTTATTAGTTGATTGACTGAATACACATGTATCCACATATGTATTCTTATCTCGTATGATTAATGTTTTGGGATTCGGTGATTTCTTATCCTTGACTTGACCTTATCTTAAACAAAATTAAACTCAATAATACTCACTAAAATAATTTATTTTTTGACTGAAACTAAAATAATATAGCATCTTGGTTACAAAAGTAATAATAATACATAGCATATTCTTCTAGTGTTTGGATTTAACAGTAATATCTTTCCCGTTTTCAAATATTTTACTAAATAACCAATTTTACACACATAAAAAAATATAATATATTTTTTTAAAATATTATATAATGTCATAGTTTTCATTCTTTACTATAAAATAAATTTATATTTTTTAGATTAATGGAATAACTTATATATTTAAATTATATATAGATTAAATACATAATTATTTAATGAATCTAAAATATTATATTTACTTATGACGAAGAATTGAAGGGATGTTTTATCTTTAATTTTAACATAAGCTATATTGTGTCTAATAAAAAGTCAGTCTATTTTACGTGTTATTAGAATTTTTTTTTGAAATAATTATATATTAAAAAAAATCGCAAATAACCATGTTTTAGAAAAAATTACGCAAATAACTATGTTTCACATGACTCTTCAAAGGAGAAGTCATCTCACTTGGCGTCTACACCTATCTTTTAAGGGGAGGCGCCATCTCACTTGGCGCCTAGGTGCTTAGGACTTGCTCTAAGCAAAGTGAAATGGCGCCTTAGTGCATTTGCTAGGGTAATTTTCGCGTTTTTTTCCCAATGCGGTGCATTACATATTCGATATAGGATCAACAAAATTGACTTTTTATTACAAAATATGATTACACACATAAGTATTACATAAAAAACAAATTAATCAGTGGTTCCCCAGAACCCAGTAATGACCCCCCATTCCGCATCCCCGTCCTCGCCTTTCCTGTGCTGGGTTTCGTCGTGTTTCCTGCTATGGCAGGGTCGATGGCCCAGCAAAGTCAATGCATTTCAGATCCATGAAATCAGTCAGATCTCCATATCTAGAAGATCCGCTTTGATATAGTCGGTTATCCATACCCTCAAAGTTTGGTCGTGTTGGCGGTGGGTGGAATTCCAAGGTTGGTCTGTAGCATTGGTCGTCTGAGTACTGGGGGTAGAAAGGAAATGGATCTTGGGGTGTTTGGTATTGAGGATGTTGGGTGGTTTGGTAATATTGCGGTTGATGGTAAGTTGGGTCGGTTGGTTCATAATCTTCCGACATTCCCATATCAGGGCTAAGGTTGGATGTTGAGTGTAGCGGTAGAAATGTTCAAGACTAAGTCATTGGATTGACTAGACTTTATACAAATCAAAATCAAAATTGTCACCGCGCTTTATTGTTTCCAAAGGAATGGGAAAATAGCGAATAACTCAAAAGAGGGGGAAAGATTCAAGGTAAGGGGGTTGGTTAT